GGCAGAGGGGAGACCTGCAGTCAGAAAAGGCCTCATGAGACCTGTCCACCAATTACCATGTACGTAGCTGACTTGGGTCCAGATTCAAACAACTACACTGTCAACCATTTTTCTTTGCTTTTTTTGAGACAGGGTCTCTGTCACCCAGGCTGGAGTACAGTGGTATGATCATGGTTCATAGCAGCCTCGAACTTCTGGGTTCAAGCGATCCTCCCATCACAGCCTCCTGAACAGCTGAGATTATAGACATGTGCCATAGTACCTGGCTAATTTTTATATTTTTTGTATATATAGGGTTTTGCTATGTGGCCCAGGTTGGTCTAAAACTCCTGGGCTCAAGTGATCCTCCCGCCTTGGCCTCCCAAAGTGTTGGAATTACACAGACGTGAGCCATTGCACTGCCTCAAAGACATTTTGAATGAAGTTTCAAAAGCTAGCATTTCTAAACCAAACCATGCCACTGAAGTCCACAACGAGGCAGGTGTATGTTCCCAGACTCCTCAAGGCTCACGCGAAGGTCCGGGGCAGGCGCATTTTAGAAGCGCATCCATTTCACGTCATTGAGAGACTCCACCTGAGCACCACTCACAGCTGAACAAAAGCCCCGGACACAGGGAATAGGGGCCTGGCTCCTTTCGCCAAAGCAAGACAGCTCCTGGAGCGAGGGGTGCAGACACCACCACCCGGCCTCCTCCCCTTCACCCACAGGCCTCACGCCAGGGCGCACTAACCTCGGCCAACCCAGACCGGGAGTGACGTCCAGCCGCGCTGCTCCCCGCCCCACCATCACCTCAACTTGTGTTATTCTCTGCATGGCTTCTAGTGTCGATGCTGTTGTTGATTTTTTATTGTCTGCTTCCTATCACTAGAACAGAAGTTCCGAAGAGGCAGAGTCTGGCCTTGTTCTCCTCTATCGGGAGAGCCTGCACCAGGGCCTGGTGCCCAGCAGACATGCGCGGTGGCCGGAGTGGATGAATTGGTTCCGGGAGCCCAGGCCCTCCATGCTGGGCCCCCAGAGGCACGTTAGGGTTATCTTTCAGGGTTATCTTTAGCCTTAAACCCCGTGCCTAGAGGGTTTAGGGTTAAAGATAACATCCGCAGTGCCTGGGAGTCAAGACTTTCTGAAGAAAGATGAAGTTACCACTTTGAACCTAAGCCTCTCTTCAGAAAATAAGAAAATGAAAGAAAATGGTGATTCAATGGCTAAAAGACTGCAGCCAGGCAGGAGAGAGAAGAAACCTAATAAAATCTAGCGAACTAGGGGCGACCGTGTGTAAACTGTCACTGACAAGATAGAGTCCACGTGAAAGAAGGGCTGAAGTCAAGGAGGTGAAAGGCTGCATGACAAAGAAGGGAATCTAGGCCGGGCGCGGTGGCTCAAGCCTGTAATCCCAGCACTTTGGGAGGCCGAGGCGGGCGAATCACAAGGTCAGGAGATCGAGACCATCCTGGCTAACCCGGTGAAACCCCGCCTCTACTAAAAAATACAAAAAACTAGCCGGGCGAGGTGGTGGGCGCCTGTAGTCCCAGCTACTCGGGAGGCTGAGGCAGGAGAATGGCGTGAACC